CTAAAGAAAAAATAAATTATTTTCTTTATTCATTGAACTGGAATTAAAGAAATAATCATTGTCAAAATCAAATGTAAACCTGATTTTTATCATCTATTCTTATCAATGAGGATTGACTCTTGTTGCTGCAGAATATGCAGTAAAGAAATACCGCTCCCATAGAAGAATTCCTAACAGTGTATTGGATGATCTTGAATCTATTATGAATTAATTAATTAATTAGTTAATTGTTTATTTTTATTTATTTGTTTATTATTCATTAATTTATTTATTTGTTAATTCATTTATTCATTAATTCATTAATTCATTTATTAATGTAACTTACTTTATTTTCTAAACATTTATATAATAAAATTCCAAATTTATTTCCATGAAATATATATATTTTTGACATCGCCATTTGTTGTCTAGTTAAATTTGAAATAAAATATTGATATTAATTAGTATATAATATTTATATGTTTCTTGTCCACAAAAATAGTCTATTATATTAATAGTTACATCATTTGCATGTTTTTTAATCAATGCGAGACAGTTGATTTTAGTTGTGTTGATTGATGGTACCATTTTTTATCTAGTTAAATTTGAAATAAAAATATTGATATTAATGATATTAAGTAATATAAACAAAGTGTATTCCCACAAAATATATTTTTGGTGCTAAGTGGGGATAGTGGGTCTATTTATAGTGATAAATTAGACTACTTGTCCACAAAATAATCTATTATATTAATAATTACATCATTTGCACATTTCTTGATCAATGCAAGACAGTTGATTATAGTCATGTTGATTGATGGTACCATTTTTTATCTATATATATAGTTAAATTTAAAATGAAATTGACATTAGCAATAGAAATAAAATGTATATATATACTTCCATAAAATATATTTTTGGTGCTAGGTGGGAGATAGCAGTATATTTTGCACATTCTTTGATCAATGCAATAATCTATTTATTAAATTTAAAATAAATGAACTTAACTGTTCTTTGTATTTTTTTTAATAATAAAGATAATTATCTTCCCGTTCATCTGGAAAATTCACGTGACAAAAGATCTGCAATACAAGGTAAATTTTTCAAATTTTTATTTTGTTTCAATTCGTCTATTTTTGATATTAACTTTTTTGTGTGTAACACGCCATCTCAGGGCTAAACATAGTAAATTCAGTAAACTTGTGCAACTTTGAAGCTCAAATTCTCCACAACAACATGACATATCAATGAGATGAAATCGTAATTTTGTAGAGGAAGGTCTTGGCTTCAAAAACACGATTTATTTTGGGGTGTTGCATTTCCATTTTTGGAGAATTTGAAAATCTATACGACCAATAAAAAGTTGTGGGACTAAGTGACTTGCACTATAAAAGAATTCTTTATGATTCATGCCAATGACATTTTATTACATATCCTAACTTTCAAGAATTTGTCAATGCTAAAAAAGTTATTTGCAAATGTGGTCAAATTATTTCACTTGGAATCAATTATCAAGTTGCAAACTTTAAAAGACATTCCGAGAGTAATAATTGTAATTTTTTAATAAATAATCAACCTAGTGTCAAAGCATTCTTTACAAAAAGTAACCATGAAGAACATATCATTGATGATAATAATATAGATCAAAATCTACATATATGCAAGGGTCTTTGTGACTTGGAGTATATTGATTATGTTATAAATAGTCCAGCTAATTTTGGAGGTGGTAAAAAACCTGAAATAATTGCAAAGCAACTTTTTCCTCAAAAATTTCCTGCAAACAAATCTTTTTCTCGAAGGAAACTTTCTAAATCTGAACTACAAGAGTTTAAAAGAGCATTAAAAGCTGAAGCTACTTGGAGTTTGGAATTTTTAATTAATAAAGATAAATTTCATATGTCCTTGGCTGATTTCGATTCGCATTATTAATAATTTTTTAAATGTGTTTGAAAAATTGATTCGCATAATTATAAAAAACTAAGATTTGCATTAATACGATTTGCCATTTAATTTGGCGGTCACATACTATAGAGTTTTCCCAGTCCTGCCGAAATTCTAATTAACAATTAATGTGTAACCTGTCAAAACTCTGTCAATTGATTTCTGGAGGAGTTTCACCACAACCTTAGTTGCAACCTATTGAGTTCCTGAGTTACAACATCATAGTTGCAATAACCAGCATAATATTTGATTAAGTTTTCTATTTTGCCATCCAATTCTTGGCAATATTTGGTAAATTTCCTGGTATAACTAAATGCTGGGATAATGAATGTTTACTCAAATTTGCACATATATATGCCTTCATATATTGTAAGTCTAGATCAGAAAATTCCCATTGACATTTTATTAGTAAACTTTTTTGGTGTCAGAAGGAAACAAAGCAATTTTAGACCTTGTGGAATTTGTAATTTCAACAGTTATGAAAACACTACCTTCTGGAACAGCAATGATAATAACAGTAATAATAATAATAAAAACCATTCAGAGATTTGCATTGTACGCAATAAATCATATAGAACAAAAGGCATACAAAATACAGTCATTGACTATCAAGAATATCCTTTAAATGTTCTTCTTCTTTCCAATAAATAGAATTTGGAAAAAAATCATTTACTGTTTCGTGTAGTGGGGGTATGATTGTTACTTCATTTGACTCATTATACTGTATGAGACATTAATACAATATTATACATGGATGTCAAAAGAATTTCAAAAGGTAATTGTTCTATAATAATTGTTAATAATTTGTATGATATATTTATTTATTTATTTATTGATATTTCTTATTATTAGATAAATATGATAAATAAAATAAAAATATATTACTTGGTAAACATGGGTCGGGTAAATAGATCAATTAAACCACACAAACTTTTAAATACAAGAATTTAGAACAATTGCCGAACTAAATGCTATTGGCATATGTCATTTCATCAACAACGTTTTATGAATTATTTTTAGAGGTAAATAATCAGTAATATTATAAAAAAAATTATAATATATCTTTTCCAAAAATAAAACAAAAATCAATTAAAATGAATAAAATATGATCTTCAAATATTATTACACGAGAATAATATCAATATCAGCCATAGGAATTTTCCACAATTTTATAACAGGATTTCGCGCCCTGTTTGCTGCTTCCAATTCGCATCGTTTTAAAGATAGAGATTAGTCACGTGAATTTATAATGATCAGCGAGGATAAACAATTCCTTTAATCTCTTAATAGGAACGGACCATGTTTGTGAAAAAAGCAATTTTGAGTTAATACCTATATACCATTACTGTATGTAACCCCTTACCTAGAACATTTTTGGCTTAGAAACAATGCTCACTTTGCATAGTAAAATATAAAATGCGGATCTTCTTTTTTAATTTTCTCAAAACATCACTTTCACGTTTCTATTGAAAAGCCCCCATTTGGCTAAACTGACTAAACTATTTAGTCATATATTAGATTAATTTTTTCATACACAAAAATTCATTTTCAGCATGTAAAATTAAAAAATAGTTTGCGAAAACCCTATATATATAAAAATTGTGAATCCCTAATTTTTTAAAAAACATTAATTCTTTACACAGAATTTCACGAATGTTCCAATTTAAAAATTATTAATCAATAACAAGATAATACTTATTCTGTTTCTATTGATAATCTTGCTCCTAATAATAGTATAGCATGGTTAAAAATCCTTTTATAGATAGATCGACGTTACAAAGATCGACAATTTATACATGAAGAGTATTGTAAAATCGAAAAAGTACCACTTAGGAAAGTGAGTGACGCTGCACAGACTATATAACAACTCAACATTTGCACAATTTTTTTTACTATTTTTGTTCTTTTCTGAGTAGAAATAACTCTTTTTGTGTGGAACTGGATTTTGATTTTATTAATAACAAAGTCTCTTTGCCATAACACCCAAATTTGATAAAGATTTACATCCGCCAAGTCATTATTGTTTTGATTGATAGACCTCAGTAGCCAATGATTAGATTTTTATCTATGTTAATAGGAGTAAAGTATTGTACAACAAGGAACAGGAATGGAACAACTTTGAATACCCTACATTCTACCCTTAATATAAAAAAATTTGCCATATCAACAAAATGAAATGTAGAAAAAGGTTTTGGTATGATTTGTTTTATGGTATATATTTCTATTTCGGAGTAGTCAAAAGAATCAAAAAGGCCTGCAAGACCAATAAAAGTTATAGGATATGAAAAACAGTGAAAAATATTTTTTTAAAAATGGGCGATATTTATTCGTGTAACGGTTATTATATTGAATGACGCTTGATCTGCAATGTGATAATGAATTTTGTTGTATGGGAAATGGACCAACTAAGAGTGGGATATTTTGTTTTTGAGAAAGTTAGAAAACAATTAATTGCGGGTATTTAGTAAGCTAAAAGGAATCCCTTGTTATAATAATAATTGTATGTAACTACAATTTTGGGTTCGGGTGTTGCCAACTTTTTGTTGGTCCATTTCCCATAAATTCGAAAATTACCAAAAAAATCACTGTATCACGATGATCTTGTGTAAGATTCTACAAAATATGTCCCTTTTTTTAATTAATTCAGTTAATTCAGTTAGAACAATTTTTAACGATAAATATCCTTGTTGTGCACATATACAATATATCTTTGAAATCATATGAACCGACTACGATGATGAAATATGAGTTTAATTTAATCTATTTTCAGAAACGGCTTATTTCAATATTAAATAATTGGACGAGACAATTATTAATCAGGTATAAATTAAATATACGTGTGATATATTTAATAATATATAAACAATAAAGATTTCCGAAATTATTTTTAAAAAAATTATTTTAAAATTTTTTTTTAAAAAAAAAAAAAAACTAAATATATATATATATATAATGGTTTTTTGAATTTTATTCTCATAGTTTGATTTTTTTTTTATATATAATAATAATATAATAATCACAATAATAACATAGTTAATAATTAATAATAATTAAATAGCTAATAATTAATAATAATAAACATGAAGTTATCATTACTGGGAAAAATAGCATTTTTTTCCTTCATCGCTCAAGCAATTGTTCTCACTGTATTGGAATGCGTGGTCGTTTATTTTCATGTTAGCTTTGTACATCAATATATATTGGGCCCACAAGGAGATGGGATTTCTGATGCTGATTTAATTTATCATGCATTGTAAGTATTACATATAATATATATTTGATTTTTTTCGATCATTAATTAATTAATTTTTCTTCTTTTCCTTCCTTCCTTCAAAAAAGATTTATTTTATCACTTGGATTTCAAATACTTATGTGTATAGATGCATTACGGAATAATAATTCAATTCAATTAGTTTCTCTGGTAATATTCAATTTGCTCTCATTAGCCTATGCTGGAATACAAATATATCAACATATTATATTGGAAGAGAGGGGTACCGATGAGGCTATCTTTGTCCCATCTGATATGTACCCTACAAGTTATATGGCCAAGCATCATTTCACTTCTAGAATGAGACCATTGGAATATACTATAATCGGATTGGTCGCGGTATTTTCAGTTTATTTGTGTGTCATAGCTTACAAATTGGTTAAAGAATTTGGTTGGGAGATTTATAAAACTTACTCAGCAGATGTTGAAATCAAAAGGGCCTTCATAAATTTATCAATATTACAAACTTTGATAAAAATGGATATATTTTTCATTGGAGCCTATGCAATCCAATTACTTCCATCACAACAAATAGGTTATGATCAAACTGTGATAGAGACAGTGTTAATATTCGTTATTGGTGTAATAATGATGGCAATGGCTTGGTATTCTGTTGTCAAAGAATTAAAATATTTATTATTATCAGTCATAAATGCTTTGTTTGTCTGTTTAATCTACATCGGTTACAAATTAGTCAGAATCAACTTGCCAAAATATTTCAATGAAAATCCAGATAGTGATCCTTACCAATTCACAAGACGTTTTTTAACTTTCTTTTTGGGTGTCACTTTTCTCCTTGTAATATTTTCCATCATTTATGCTATTATCTGCTTTAGAAATATGATGAATGGAATTTATGTGCTGACAGTGTATGGTGTGAACAATCAAGCTCAAGAATCTCCTCATGGCAATGCATTCGACGAAGAAGAAATGTCCGGTGTATATTCTAAACAACAATCAAAACGACAAAGTAAAATTACTGAATTAGCAAGATTTCCAAGAAGATTAAGCTTAGATTAATTCATTTTAATTCAAACTATTTATGTATAAATATTATTTGTATAGTACATTATCATCAAACAATCGTCTAAATCTACATCTAATCTACATCTAAATTTACATCTACATAGCGTATTTTAATATAATTAAAAATAATATGTATATTTTTTTGGTGAATCGCTTCTATCTTCTCTCAGTTGTATTGTGGCTTATATGTTGGCTTATAACATCCACATTAAAGCATCAAGCTTTTAAAAATCACAAAAGCCTGCCCATTTTTCACATGTAACATCAACTAACATACGCATACATTTTGTATTACAAAAACTAATTTGTTCTATAAATAAATAAATAAAATAAATAATGTTGGAGGGGTCCATTTAGTTGGATAGATATTGATTTGATCAATATTGATTGATTAATGTGGTTAGAATAAATAAATTTTTTTTTATTTATTCTATTGTTTTACGAATGGGATTTAAATATATATATTTATTTATTATTATTGTTGATCGGTACTTACCACGTTTTTTTCTTTGAATTTGCACGTAAAATATTAAACGTGCACAAGTCATATGTTCTAATTCATGTTAATGCCATTTATAAACATTTACAAAATTACATGTCAATCAGTCTCAAATGCAACAATAAGTTCATTCTTAGCATGACCTGCATAAAAAAAACACTGAAACGCTATACCAAAAAAAAAACTCCCTTCAAAAAAAATTTATTTTTTTTATGATAAAGACGATAGTAATAAATAATAACAATTTATTGAAACATCATTCGAAAATTTATCTTTATCTCCTCAACAATCATTATCTCTCTCGTCATATTCATCGCCTACAACATCATAAAAAATTTTTTCCAGTTGTAGAAAAATAAAATAAAAAATTCATATATATATGACAAATGAATAACAGCGGTGGTAAAAATAATGGTAGTGTTAAAACTAATAATCAAGCAATAAATAACAATTCACGTCGAACTACTCCTGCCTCAAAAAAATCTATAAGTTTGGGACCACCACCAAAACCTTCCCGTACAATAACAAACAATAACAACAATAATCAATCACAAAATCAACCCACAATATCTCGTAGTCCTTCTGCTGGCAGTGTTTTGACGAAAAATAGTTCCACGTCTGATTCTAGTAATTCTACAAAATATTCACAGCCTGCTTATGGCTCTATTAAAGGAGCACAAGCCATCAATGTACCTGGCGAGCCTATTCAACCAGTTAATAGTAATGAAAAAGATGGTAATAATAAATCTTTTAAGGGTGTCTTTAATAATATTGTTAGCTCAATGTCAGGTAAAAATCTTTTTTAAAAAAGTATATTCGATTATTTAATTATATATATTTGTATGCAATCAAATTAAAAAAATTTTTTTTAAATTTAACTATTAATTGATATATATATTTTAATATATCAATTAATATTGTTATAACTGGCATATAATAATAATCATAATAATCATAATAATGATCGTTATCGTCGTCATCTATTTAGATCTTTTAACATCACAAAAAAGAGTAGAAATTTCGTCGCCTTATGATCCAGTTCATCTAACTCATGTTGGTTTTAATCAAGAAACTGGTGAATTTACTGTAAGTCGTCCCCATTAAGAATATTTAATGATTCACATGATATATTCCAATGATATATTCCAATCTTGATTAATTAATTAACCAATAAATCGATCGATCAACCAACCAACCAATCAATCATTTATTTATTTATTAAATTAATTAT